AACTTTAATCAATTTTAAAGGCCAATTTTATTATTTTTCTAAAATTTCACATAAAAGCTTTCTGGAAACGCGTCCGGACTGCGCACGCAAATCGAGGTGAGACAAAAAGAGGTTTTCAAGGCCTCGAAACACAGTTTTGACTTCTAAAACAAGAGATGACCTTTAGGGTCATCACAAGCAATAGTTAAAGGCTAGGTATGAAGTAGGTTTTGTCCTTGAGGTCTAAGGTTTGATTCCTTCTACCAGCATTACTTTGTTTTCCTATTTCTTTTTTATTTTTTATTTCTTTTTATTATTTGGTTTAAGTATTTGGATATAAATACTTTCATATTTATAATTACTTTTCAATGTAATTAATTTAATATTTATTAGAAAATTATGATTTTTGAATTCATTTAAAGTAAAGAAAAAAAAAGAGAAGCCTTTTACTAGTTCGTTAGAAAATCTACCGACATTTTTAATAGTTGTTATTTTGTTTTATACGTAAAGAAAATTTATTTTCTTTTCCTTTTATTTTCAAATTAGAATTATGAGTTTTATTTATAATTAAAATTTTCATAAGTGAATAATATATATAGTTTAATCTATTGCTTGAATTTGTTTATTTTTTGATATTTTTCTTTTTAAATTTAGTTATTCAAAATTAGTTGTTTTACGTATAATACAAAATAACAACTATTAAAAATGTCGGTACATTTTTAATAGTTGTTATTTTGTATTATACGTAAAACAAAATTATTTTTTTCTTCTTTTATTTTCAAATTAGAATTATGAGTTTTATTTTATAGCTGAAATTTTCATAAAGGAATAATATATATATTTTAATCTATTGCTTGAATTTTTTATTTTTTGATATCTTTCTTTTATTCAGTTATTAAAAGTTTAGGTATTACTCGAGAGATATATTTTAGTTATTAAATAAACTTAAATCATTTACTGGCTTTTTAGTTGAACATGCATAAGGCCATTTACCTTTTGTTGCATGTACGATGAACATAAGTTAAAATGTGTCGAATCTGTTGACTTTGCAATTTTATAAACTTTAAAACACGTCACCTTATTTATTTGTTAGCTCACCCTTTTATTTGTAAACGATGTACACCACAGGCAAAATTTACCTATAATAATAAGTAAATTTTAATATTTCTTGATTAAAAAAGAAAGACAACTAAAATATATTTCTTGATTAATAACTAAAATTTTAGTAACTAAATTTTTAAAGAAAGAAATCAAAAAATAAAAAAATTCAAGCAATAGATTAAACTATATATATTATTCTTTATGAAAATTTTAACTATAAAATAAAACTCATAATTCTAATTTGAAAATAAAAAGAGAAAAAAATAATTTTAT